CTCTTCACGGATTCCGTCAGCAGTCTTTCTTGGAATCCGTTTCCAAGAGACAACAGTTTGCGAGCACGCACCCGACGGTGCAAAAGCTGAACGTCCTCCTGTCCAAGTTGCTGGTGCTGCAGTCCCTCCCTTTCCAAGTGGTGGACTCAGCACCTTTCAGAGAAATGATGGCTTGTGCCGCGCCGCGGTGGTGGAGAGTGCCAAGCCGTCATTTCTTCGCCCAAAAAGGCAGTGCCAGCCCTGCATTCACATGTAGAAGACATGGTGGGCCAGTCTTTGAGCATGTCGGTCTCTGCCAAAGTGCACGGCAGCGCCGACGTGTGGAGCTGTAACTATGGTCAGGGACAGTACATGTCATTTACGGCCCACTGGGTGAACGTGGTGCCGTCACAGCCGCACCAGCAACTTGGACAGGTCACGCCGCTTTTGCCTCCACGTTTGCACGTCCTTGGTCCGGCAAAGATGTCCGCCTCTACCACCTCTTCTTCCGCCGTGTCCCAGCCGCCACCCCCGTGCCAAGTCCCATTACCCCGACCGGCATATCACATGTGCAGGGCGCAACGGTGTCACGCTGTTCTGCACCTGGTATGCCTTGGCGAACGTAGTCACACAGGGGAGGAACTTCTGAGTGTAATGAACAGAGAAATCGACAGATGGCTGTCTCCGCGCAAACTGAAAATCGGAACCATGTTGACCGACAACGGAAAGAACATGGTGTCTGCTCTGCGTCAAGGAAGGTTGTGCCATGCGCCATGCATGGCTCACGTGTTCAATCTGGTTGTCAAGCGGTTCTTAAAATCCACCATCCCACTGCAAGACATCCTTAAAATGTCACGTAAACTTTGCATGCATTTCAGCCATTCCTACACCGCAAAGCACACCCTCCTTGAGCTGCAGCGGGCAGAACGGAATTCCACAGCATCGCCTGATCTGCGACGTTGCAACAAGGTGGAATTCAACCCTACACATGTTAGACCGCCTTTACGAACAGCGAAAGGCCATCACCGATTTCCTGATGTTACAAGCGGATAAAGGTACTCCCCTGTGTAACTTAGATGTCAGCCATTGGCAGCTCATGCGTGACACCTGCCGCTTGCTCTCAGGCCCTTTGAGGAGGCCACGCTATTCGTGAGTCGGCAGGACTATGGGATGAACGACGTCATTCCTCTGTTGCACGTCCTTGAACAAATGCTGTTAACAATGGCTGGTCAGGGTGCGGTAGACGTGGCGCACAGATCTCAACGCCACATGACCCCTGTGGGGGCAGGACAGGAAGAAGAGGAGGAGGTAGAGGAGGACATTTGTGCTCAGGAATTATTGAGTGAAATGGGTGGTTTTTCCACTCAGCGGACAGGAGTGGAGGAGCAGGAGCATCTGGTAGAGGAGGAGAGGAGGAGGAGACAGAGGACCCAGACGCACCGTGGCAGTATGCTGTGGAGATGGAGGCAGGGAGGTCCCTCGCATTCCTTGGCACAAATGGCCCATAGCATGCTCGGTTGCTTGCGTAGCGACAGCCGAATAATAACCATCAGACAGAGGGGATGACTTTTGGCTGTCCACCTTGTTGGACCCTCGCTACCGTTCCAAAATGGTGGCCTTTTTCACACCTGCTGAGAGGGAGGCCAAAATAAACGTACTATAAAAACCACCTATGTAGTCAGTTGGTCTCTGCCTTTGTGCGCCAACGTCCATCCTCAGACACTGTGGGCCCTGTGCGCTCGCGTTCCGCTGCCATGGCAGCAGGGGAGGGGTGGGGTGGTAGGAGCAGTGGCAGCTCCACCCAGCAGCAGCTGCCTCAGTCTGCAGTCGATGATGAGTAGCTTTCTTCACCAGCGCAGTGAGGAAACTACTAACCAGCCGCAGCAGCAGCAGCAGCAGCATCAGGTGGACCTGGAGCAGGACCTCAAACAACAGGCTTGGGCCTACTTGGACAGCACCCTGCCAACCGAGGTAGACAATCCCCTTGACTACTGGGCAACGAAACTTGACCTTTGGCCCCAACTAGCTGAATTTGCCCTTGAAAGGCTGTCATGCCCAGCCAGTAGCGTGGCATCGGAGCGCGTGTTTAGTGCGGCAGGAGGTATTGTAACTCCGCGGAGGACACGACTGTCCACCCAAAGTGTGGAGAGACTCACGTTTGTGAAAATGAATCAGGCGTGGATTAGTCTGGATTTCAAACCACCAGTTCCTGACACAACTGACTAAATCCGCCATGAATCATGCCTCAAACATGTGCCACTTTGAGGTCTCCTCACACACTGCTGGTGTGTAGAATTTTTTGACATAGGGTGCTGGCAGATTATGGGCCTCCTATAGCTGCTGCCAGGCCCCTAATCTGCCATAGGCCCCTATATATACCCGCTCCTCATATGCTGCTGCTGCCAGGTCCAGAGTCTCTCATGGGTCCCTGTACGGCCTCCCATTGCTGCTGTCTCCATCGCCACACTCTGCCATGTGCCACTTTCAGGTCTCCTCACACTGCTGGTGTGTAGAATTTTTTGACATAGGGTGCTGGCAGATTACGGGCCTCCCATAGCTGCTGCCAGGCCCCTAATCTGCCATAGGCCCCTATATACCGCCTCCTCATGCTGCTGCCAGGTCCAGAGTCTGTCATGGGTCCCTGTACGGCCTCCCATTGCTGCTGTCTCCATCGCCACACTCTGCCATGTGCCACTTTCAGGTCTCCTCACACACTGCTGGTGTGTAGAATTTTTTGACATAGGGTGCTGGCAGATTACGGGCCTCCCATAGCTGCTGCCAGGCCCCTAATCTGCCATAGGCCCCTATATACCGCCTCCTCATGCTGCTGCCAGGTCCAGAGTCTGTCATGGTCCCTGTACGGCTCCTCCCATTTGCTGCTGTCTCCATCGCCACACTCTGCCATGTGCCACTTTTCAGGTCTCCTCACACTGCTGGTGTGTTGAATTTTTTGACATAGGGTGCTGGCAGATTATGGGCCTCCCATAGCTGCTGCCAGGCCCCTAATCTGCCATAGGCCCCTATATACCGCCTCCTCATGCTGCTGCCAGGTCCAGAGAGTCTGTCATGGGTCCCTGTACGGCCTCCCATTGCTGCTGTCTCCATCGCCACACTCTGCCATGTGCCACTTTCAGGTCTCCTCCTCACACTGCTGGTGTGTAGAATTTTTTGACATAGGGTGCTGGCAGATTACGGGGGCCTCCCATAGCTGCTGCCAGGCCCCTAATCTGCCATAGGCCCCTATATACCGCCTTCCTCATGCTGCTGCCAGGTCCAGAGTCTCTCATGGGTCCCTGTACGGCCTCCCATTGCTGCTGTCTCCATCGCCACACTCTGCCATGTGCCACTTTCAGGTCTCCTCACACACTGCTGGTGTGTGTAATTTTTTGACAGGGTGCTGGCAGATTATGGGCCTCCCATAGCTGCTGCCAGGCCCCTAATCTGCCATGGGCCCCTATATACCGCCTCCTCATGCTGCTGCCAGGTCCAGAGTCTCTCATGGGTCCCTGTACGGCCCCTTTGCTGTCTCCATCGCCACACTGCATGGTGCTGGTGTTAGAATTTTTTGACATAGGGTGCTGGCACTTTTATGGGCCTCCCATAGCTGCTGCCAGGCCCCTAATCTGCCATAGGCCCCTATATACCGCCTCCTCATGCTGCTGCCAGGTCCAGAGTCTCTCATGGGTCCCTGTACGGCCTCCCATTGCTGCTGTCTCCATCGCCACACTCTGCCATGTGCCACTTTCAGGTCTCCTCACACACTGCTGGTGTGTAGAATTTTTTGACATAGGGTGCTGGCAGATTATACGGGCCTCCCATAGCTGCTGCCAGGCCCCTAATCTGCCATGGGCCCCCCTATATTCCCGCTGCTCCTCATGCTGCTGTGCCAGGTCCACAGTGTGTCCTCTCATTGCCATGTGCCACTTTCAGGCCACTTTCAGGTCTCACACACACACTGCTGGTGTGTTGAATTTTTTTGACATAGGGTGCTGGCAGATTATGGGCCTCCCATAGCTGCTGCCAGGCCCCTAATCTGCCATAGGCCCCTATATACCCGCCTCCTCATGCTGCTGCCAGGTCAGAGTCTCTCATGGGTCCCTGTACGGCCTCCCATTGCTGCTGTCTCCATCGCCACACTCTGCCATGTGCCACTTTCAGGTCTCCTCACACACTGCTGGTGTGTGTAGAATTTTTTGACATAGGGTGCTGGCAGATTACGGGCCTCCCATAGCTGCTGCCAGGCCCCTAATCTGCCATAGGCCCCTATATACCGCCTCCTCATGCTGCTGCCAGGTCCAGAGTCTCTCATGGGTCCCTGTACGGCCTCCCATTGCTGCTGTCTCCATCGCCACACTCTGCTGCCATGTGCCACTTTCAGGTCTCCTCACACACTGCTGGTGTGTAGAATTTTTTTTGACATAGGGTGCTGCTGGCAGATTATGGGCCTCCCATAGCTGCTGCCAGGCCCCTAATCTGCCATGGGCCCCTATATACCGCCTCCTCATGCTGCTGCTGCAGGTCCAGAGTCTGTCATGGGTCCCTGTACGGCCTCCCATTGCTGCTGTCCACATCGCCACACTCATGCCATGTGCCACTTTCAGGTCTCTCACACACTGCTGGTGTGTTGAATTTTTTTGACATAGGGTGCTGGCAGATTATGGGCCTCCCATAGCTGCTGCCAGGCCCCTAATCTGCCATAGGCCCCCCTATATACCGCTTCCTCATGCTGCTGCCAGGTCCAGAGTCTGTCATGGGTCCCTGTACGGCCTCCCATTGCTGCTGTCTCCATCGCCACACTCTGCCATGTGCCACTTTCAGGTCTCCTCACACACTGCTGGTGTGTGTAGAATTTTTTGACATAGGGTGCTGGCAGATTACGGGCCTCCCATAGCTGCTGCCAGGCCCCTAATCTGCCATAGGCCCCTATATACCGCCTCCTCATGCTGCTGCCAGGTCCAGATGTCTGTCATGGGTCCCTGTACGGCCTCCCATTGCTGCTGTCTCCATCGCCACACTCTGCCATGTGCCACTTTCAGGTCTCCTCACACTGCTGGTGTGTAGAATTTTTTGACATAGGGTGCTGGCAGATTACGGGCCTCCCATAGCTGCTGCCAGGCCCCTAATCTGCCATGGGCCCCTATATACCGCCTCCTCATGCTGCTGCCAGGTCCAGAGTGCTCATGGGTCCCTGTACGGCCTCCATTGCTGCTGTCTCCATCACTCTGCCATGTGCCACTTTCAGGTCTCCTCACACTGCTGGTGTGTTGAATTTTTTGACATAGGGTGCTGGCAGATTTATGGGCCTCCCATAGCTGCTGCCAGGCCCCTAATCTGCCATAGGCCCCTATATACCGCTTCCTCATGCTGCTGCCAGGTCCAGAGTCTCTCATGGGTCCCTGTACGGCCTCCCATTGCTGCTGTCTCCATCGCCACACTCTGCCATGTGCCACTTTCAGGTCTCCTCACACACTGCTGGTGTGTAGAATTTTTTTGACATAGGGTGCTGGCAGATTACGGGCCTCCCATTGCTGCTGCCAGGCCCCTAATCTGCCATAGGCCCCTATATACCGCCTCCTCATGCTGCTGCCAGGTCCAGAGTCTGTCATGGGTCCCTGTACGGCCTCCCATTGCTGCTGTCTCCATCGCCACACTCTGCCATGTGCCACTTTCAGGTCTCCTCACACACTGCTGGTGTGTAGAATTTTTTGACATAGGGTGCTGGCAGATTACGGGCCTCCCATTGCTGCTGCCAGGCCCCTAAATCTGCCATGGGCCCCTATACCGCCTCCTCCTCATGCTGCCAGGTCCAGAGTCTCTCATGGGTCCCTGTACGGCCTCCCATTGCTGCTGTCTCCATCGCCCACTCTGCCATGTGCCACTTTCAGGTCTCCTCACACTGCTGGTGTGTTGAATTTTTTGACATAGGGTGCTGGCAGATTATGGGCCTCCCATAGCTGCTGCCAGGCCCCTAATCTGCCATAGGCCCCTATATACCGCTTCCTCATGCTGCTGCCAGGTCCAGAGTCTCTCATGGGTCCCTGTACGGCCTCCCATTGCTGCTGTCTCCATCGCCACACTCTGCCATGTGCCACTTTCAGGTCTCCTCACACTGCTGGTGTGTAGAATTTTTTGACATAGGGTGCTGGCAGATTATGGGCCTCCCATAGCTGCTGCCAGGCCCCTAATCTGCCATGGGCCCCTATATACCGCCTCCTCATGCTGCTGCCAGGTCCCTCATGGGTCCCTGCTGCCAGGTGCCACTGTCTCCATCGCCACACTCTGCCATGTGCCACTTTCAGGTCTCCTCACACTGCTGGTGTGTTGAATTTTTTGACATAGGGTGCTGGCAGATTATGGGCCTCCCATAGCTGCTGCCAGGCCCCTAATCTGCCATAGGGCCCCTATATACCGCTTCCTCATGCTGCTGCCAGGTCCAGAGTCTCTCATGGGTCCCTGTACGGCCTCCCATTGCTGCTGTCTCCATCGCCACACTCTGCCATGTGCCACTTTCAGGTCTCCTCACACACTGCTGGTGTGTAGAATTTTTTGACATAGGGTGCTGGCAGATTATGGGCCTCCTATAGCTGCTGCCAGGCCCCTAATCTGCCATAGGCCCCTATATACCGCTTCCTCATGCTGCTGCCAGGTCCAGAGTCTGTCATGGGTCCCTGTACGGGCCTCCCATTGCTGCTGTCTCCATCGCCACACTCTGCCATGTGCCACTTTCAGGTCTCCTCACACTGCTGCTGGTGTGTAGAATTTTTTGACATAGGGTGCTGGCAGATTACGGGCCTCCCATAGCTGCTGCCAGGCCCCTAATCTGCCATAGGCCCCTATATATACCGCCTCCTCATGCTGCTGCCAGGTCCAGAGTCTCTCATGGGTCCCTGTACGGCCTCCCATTGCTGCTGTCTCCATCGCCACACTCTGCCATGTGCCACTTTCAGGTCTCTCACACACTGCTGGTGTGTAGAATTTTTTGACATAGGGTGCTGGCAGATTATGGGCCTCCCATAGCTGCTGCCAGGCCCCTAATCTGCCATGGGCCCCTATATACCGCCTCATGCTGCTGCTGCCAGAGTCCATGGGTCCCTGTACGGCCTCCCATTGCTGCTGTCTCCATCGCCACTCTGCCATGTGCCACTTTCAGGTCTCCTCACACTGCTGGTGTGTTGAATTTTTTGACATAGGGTGCTGGCAGATTATGGGCCTCCCATATAGCTGCTGCCAGGCCCCTAATCTGCCATGGGCCCCTATATACCGCCTCCTCATGCTGCTGCCAGGTCCAGAGTCTCTCATGGGTCCCTGTACGGCCTCCCCTGCATTGCTGCTGTCTCCATCGCCACACTCTGCCATGTGCCACTTTCAGGTCTCCTCACACACTGCTGGTGTGTAGAATTTTTTGACATAGGGTGCTGGCAGATTACGGGCCTCCCATAGCTGCTGCCAGGCCCCTAATCTGCCATAGGCCCCTATATACCGCTCCTCATGCTGCTGCCAGGTCCAGAGTCTGTCATGGGTCCCTGTACGGCCTCCCATTGCTGCTGTCTCCATCGCCACACTCTGCCATGTGCCACTTTCAGGTCTCCTCACACACTGCTGGTGTGTAGAATTTTTTGACATAGGGTGCTGGCAGATTATGGGCCTCCCATAGCTGCTGCCAGGCCCCTAATCTGCCATAGGCCCCTATATACCGCCTCCTCATGCTGCTGCCAGGTCCAGAGAGTCTCTCATGGGTCCCTGTACGGCCTCCCATTGCTGCTGTCTCCATCGCCACACTCTGCCATGTGCCACTTTCAGGTCTCCTCACACTGCTGGTGTGTAGAATTTTTTGACATAGGGTGCTGGCAGATTACGGGCCTCCCATTGCTGCTGCCAGGCCCCTAATCTGCCATGGGCCCCTATACCGCCTCCTCTCATGCTGCTGCCAAGTCCAGAGTGTGTCATGGGTCCCTGTACGGCCTCCCATTGCTGCTGTCTCCATAGCCACACTCTGCCATGTGCCACTTTCAGGTCTCCTCACACTGCTGGTGTGTTGAATTTTTTGACATAGGGTGCTGGCAGATTACGGGCCTCCCATTGCTGCTGCCAGGCACGTAATCTGCCATGGGCCCCCGTACCGACTCCTCATGCTGTGACGTTGCAACAAGGTGGAATTCAACCCTACATATGTTAGACCGCCTTTACGAACAGCGAAAGGCCATCACCGATTTCCTGATGTTAAAAGCGGATAAAGGTACTCCCTGTGTAACTTAGATGTCAGCCATTGGCAGCTCATGCGTGACACCTGCGCTTGCTCAGGCCCTTTGAGGAGGCCACGCTATTCGTGAGTCGGCAGGACTATGGGATGAACGACGTCATTCCTCTGTTGCACGTCCTGGAACAAATGCTGTTAACAATGGCTGGTCAGGGTGCGGTAGACGTGGCGCACAGATCTCAACGCCACATGACCCCTGTGGGGGCAGGACAGGAAGAAGAGGAGGAGGTAGAGGAGGACATTGGTGCTCAGGAATTATTGAGTGAAATGGGTGGTTTTTCCACTCAGCGGACAGGGAGTGGAGGAGCAGGAGCATCTGGTAGAGGAGGAGGAGGAGGAGACAGAGGACCCAGACGCACCGTGGCAGTATGCTGTGGAGATGGAGGCAGGGAGTCCCTCGCATTCCTTGGCACAAATGGCCCATAGCATGCTCGCTTGCTTGCGTAGCGACAGCCGAATAATAACCATCAGACAGAGGGATGACTTTTGGCTGTCCACCTTGTTGGACCCTCGCTACCGTTCAAAAATGGTGGCCTTTTTCACACCTGCTGAGAGGGAGGCCAAAATAACGTACTATAAAAACCACCTATGTAGTCAGTGCTGGTCTCTGCCTGTCTGCGCCAACGTCCATCCTCAGACACTGTGGGCCCTGTGCGCTCGCGTTCCGCTGCCATGGGCAGCAGGGGAGGGGGGGGGGTGGTAGGAGCAGTGGCAGCTCCACCAGCAGCGGCTGCCTCAGTCTGCAGTCGATGATGAGTAGCTTTCTTCACCAGCGCAGTGAGGAAACTACTAACAGCCGCAGCCAGCCAGCAGCAGCAGCAGCAGCATCAGGTGGACCTGGAGCAGGACCTCAAACAACAGGCTTAGGCCTACTTGGACAGCACCCTGCCAACCGAGGTAGACAATCCCCTTGACTACTGGGCAACGAAACTTGACCTTTGGCCCCAACTAGCTGAATTTGCCCTTGAAAGGCTGTCATGCCCGGCCAGTAGCGTGGCATCGGAGCGCGTGTTTAGTGCGGCAGGAGGTATTGCAACTCCGCGGAGGACACGACTGTCCACCCAAGTGTGGAGAGACTGACGTTTGTGAAAATGAATCAGGCGTGGATTAGTCTGGATTTCAAACCACCAGTTCCTGACACAACTGACTAAATCCGCCATGAATCATGCCCCAAACATGTGCCACTTTCAGGTCTCCTCACACTGCTGGTGTGTTCCATTTTTTGTCATAGGGTGCTGGCAGATTACGGGCCTCCCATAGCTGCTGCCAGGCCCCTAATCTGCCATGGGCCCCTATACCGCCTCCTCATGCTGCTGCCAAGTCCAGAGTCTCTCATGGGTCCCTGTACGGCCTCCCATTGCTGCTGTCTCCATCGCCACACTCTGCCATGTGCCACTTTCAGGTCTCACACACTGCTGGTGTGTAGAATTTTTTGACATAGGGTGCTGGCAGATTACGGGCCTCCCATAGCTGCTGCCAGGCCCCTAATCTGCCATAGGCCCCTATATACCGCCTCCTCATGCTGCTGCCAGGTCCAGAGTCTGTCATGGGTCCCTGTACGGCCTCCCATTGCTGCTGTCTCCATCGCCACACTCTGCCATGTGCCACTTTCAGGTCTCCTCACACTGCTGGTGGGTTCCATTTTTTGTCATAGGGTGCTGGCAGATTACGGGCCTCCCATAGCTGCTGCCAGGCCCCTAATCTGCCATGGGCCCCTGTTGTCGCTTGTTGGCATATTCCGCTCGTTCAGATGCTCCTTCTCCTGCTACTCCTCTTCACGGATTCCGTCAGCAGTCTTTCTTGGAATCCGTTTCCAAGAGACAACAGTTTGCGAGCACGCACCAGACGGTGCAGAAACTGAACGTCCTCCTGTCCAAGTTGCTGCTGCCAGGCTCGTAATCTGTCATGCGCCCCTGTACCGCCTCCTCATGCTGCTGCCAGGTCCAGAGTGTGTCATGGGCCCCCGTACCGACTCCAAATGCTGCTGCCAGGCCCGTAATCTGTCATGGGCCCCTGTACCGCCTCCCCATGCTGCTGCCACGTCCAGATTGTGTCATGGGTCCCTGTACGGCCTCCCATTGCTGCTGCCAGGCCTGTAATCTGCCATGGGCCCCCGTACCGACTCCTCATGCTGCTGCCAGGCCCGTAATCTGCCATGGGCCCCTGTACCGCCTCCTCATGCTGCTGCCAGGTCCAGAGTGTGTCATGGGTCCCTGTACGGCCTCCCATTGCTGCTGTCTCTATCGCCACACTCTGCCATGTGCCACTTTCAGGTCTCCTCACACTGCTGGTGGTTTCCATTTT